GGTTTGCAGGAAGGAGGAGGAGGAGGAGGAGGAGGAGGAGGAGGAGGAGGAGGAGGAAAGAAGAAATGCCCAAGAAAAATAACTCTCGGACCTTGAATCTGGCAGAAGTAAATCCCAGTGGGGAAAGAAGATGAAAAAATAGGAGACAGCCAGATTTTCACCCAAGTGAGGGAAAGTGACTAAGGAAGGTGCTGGGAGACTGAATCAGAAGAGGGATGACATCGTTTCTCTGCTTCAAGCTTTGCAAAACTGACTCCCCCGCAGGAAGGAAGGAAGGAAGGAAGGGGGTTGCCTTGACAAGGCTTTCCCAACGACATGTCTGGGATTCCTTCTTTGTGATTCAGGCGAAGAGGACTGCGCAACTGGAGAGGCACGGTGGAGAGATGTGGGTGGCTATTTGGCTCAATTTCTCCTCTCCTCTCCTTTTCTGTTTCTTTCTACTTTTCCTTCCTCTCTCTTCTTTCTTTTCCTTTCTTCTTTCCTTCCCTTCCTCCCACCCTCCTTCCTTCTTTCCTTTCCTTCCCTTCCTTTTCTTTCTTTTCCTTCCTTCCTTCCTCCCTTCTTTCCTTCCTCCCTCTTCTTTCTTTTCCTTCCTTCCTCCTACCCTCCTTTCTTTTCCTTCCTTCTTTCCTTCCTTTCATCCTTCCTCCCTCTTTTTTCTTTTCCTTTCTTCTTTCCTTCCTTCCCTTCCTCCCACCCTCCTTCCTTCTTTCCTTCCCTTCCTCCTTTTCTTTCTTTTCCTTCCTTCCTTCCTTCCTCCCTTCTTTCCTTCCTCCCTCTTCTTTCTTTTCCTTCCTCCCTCCTACCCTCCTTCTCTTTGTTTTCCTTCCTTCTTTCCTTCCTTTCATCCTTCCTTCCCCTTCTTTCTTTTCCTTCCTCCCTCCCTCCCTCCTTTTTTCCTTCCTTCCTTCTTTCCTTCCTTTCATCCTTCCTCCCTCTTCTTTCTTTTCCTCCCTCCCTCCCTTTTTTCCTTCCTTCCTTCTTTCCTTCCTTTCATCCTTCCTCCCTCTTCTTTCTTTTCCTTCCTTCCTTCCCTTCATCCTTCCTTCCTCTTCTTTCTTTTCCTTCCTTCCTCCCACCCTCCTTCTTTCTTTTCCTTCCTTCTTTCCTTCCTTTCTCTCCTTTCTTTTCCTTCCCCCCATCCATCTTCCCCTCCCCTCCCTTCCCCACAGCCTTTCCTCCTAGTTAGAATAAAGTGGGCTCTTTGGGGAGAGAAAGGGGACTGAATCCAGCAGACACATCCAACACGGCTGGAGCAAGAAGCAGCCCGGGCGATGCTGCACAAGCATCAGCAGGGGACCCAAAGGAAAACAAAACCAGAGATAAAATACAGCAAGCAGCAGCTTTCAGATGCTGTTATAAATACCACACTGACAGTCAGCCAGAAGGCCTGGGCCAGCCAAGGGAAGAGGGAAGCGTGGGAAGAGAGAGAGGCTGCAGCTGAGACAGCCCCATAAATCCTCTCGGTCTTGAGTATCTCGGTTCATCATCCTAGCAGGAGACATGAATGGATCCACAAAAGAAAAAAAAAGGAGAATCCCAGATGCTTGGAGCATCAAAAAATATATATATTCCTTCCTCTTCCTGGGCTGTGCAGGATGCATGGATCACATCTCCACACACACAAAAAGGGTAGGGGGCATTTAGAGATGCCAGGGGAGCCAGCCCAGCTCAGGAAATGAAACCCCACTTGGCTTAATCTTTTTATTGAAAATTTTATAAAAGTTTTACAATATACTTCCCCCCCCTCCCCAAAACCCACCCTTCCCCTCCCCCC